GATGGGTTAGATGGGTTAAATGCAGAGCACAAATTCCGAGTATGGGATACCATACTTGGCCACACGACACTTCACTCACTTCACTCACTAACTCAACTATTTCTATATATAAAAGTAACAAAAAAACAAAAACAAACAAAAAAATATATATAATTTAAATATAATAATAATTATAATAATAATTAATGCATTTAGCAGGCGCTTTTATCCAAAGTGAAATGCATTACAGTGCATTCAGGCTATACATTTTTTACCAGTATGTGTGCTCCCAGGGAATCTAACCCACGACCTTTTGCGCTGCTAATGCAATGCTCTACCACTGAGCCACAGGAACAAACAAAATAACAAACAAACAAATATCTGAATGCAACTTTTTAAAATTATGTTGTTTTAATAATGTCATTCTAATATATTTTGTAATGTTGTAAGGAAAGATGATTTTAGACACCTATATTTTTTAAATGCTCCACAAACGTTGATCTTTAGCTATATTATTAATTTTATACATCTATTAAATATTGACATGGTATTACTCTATAAAATCTTTAGTCTGACTTGATAAATTTCTCAATAACCACAGCTGAAATTAATTTTAATCAACACAATTATTCAGTCTGAGATCAACAGAGAAAGATACTTTGTTATTGTCTGCTCAAAATGTTAAAAATTAAAATACAATATTTTTTAATTACATGAGCTTTGCACCCAATTGTGTATCACTGTGGTCATTCAGGTAGTATAACAAAGTTACTGTAAAGTATAAGCAATACTCTTGATATGAGAAACACACAGGACAACGAGTTTACTGGATTAGATTGGATCTGTGGGGGATCCAAATTCATACATTTATTTAGGCCGCAAAGTGTTCATGATAATCACAACTGCAATGTAAATAAGGTTATTAGTTTGTGGTGTAATTAGACAGGATGTGAGTCTCCATTCTATGACAGTACAAACAGGACAGAGACAATTAATTAAGCAGGTAATAGAGCACATTATTGTGCAAATGTTCTGCATCAGACTAAACCAATCACCGATATAACTGCACATTCTTTCATTAAAGTGAATTACAAAGCTGGAAGAGGGAAAAACATTGGAGCTTGGAACAGCAGGAAGGCAAACTAAGAAAATATAGAGAGTTCTTACCTCGTTTTGAAGCCCGTGGAGGAAGAACGCTTCTCCTGACTCTCCTAAGAAACAGGAGATTTCAACAGGTTGTCAGCACTTTGCTTCTAAACTCAGTCTTAATCACTGTGGTAACTCAGCTAACTGGTTTCTGTTTACTTGAGGAGTTTCAGGGCTGTTACCCTCTTTGAATTATGGCAGCAAATTAGCAAATCTCAACTATCTCAGAGTTTGTGTATTCAGGTTGTATTTTCTAAGGTAAACACAACAGGATGATCAATAACAATAAGGTGGATATGATAAAATGGCAGGTGACTCTAGATAAGCCTAGTTTGTGGCCTATATCCAATTCTAAAGCTGAACAGGCAAATAAAAATTGCACAGAACAGAATGTTTAGATGTACGATGCAAAACAATTTTCATAGTTTGAATTCTAATTGCATGACTCATAAGGTTGTATTATTATATTGTATGCAGTTTTTAAAGAAATAGTTCACCCCAAAATGAAAATTTGCTGAAAATGTACTCACCCTCAGCCTCAGGCCATGCAGGACATAGAAGAATTTGTTTTTCATCAGGATCCTCTGCAGTGAATGGGTGCCATCAAAACAGAGTCCAAACAGCTGATAAAACATCACAGCAATCTACAAGTAATCCGCATGATTCCAATCTATCAATTAAGGTCTTGTAAAGTGAAAAGCTGTGTGTATAATAAACAAGTCCATAATTAAGAGGGTTTTTACTTTAAACAATTGCTTCCAGCTAAAATACGAGTCTTCCATTCATAATGTTGCTTTCTACAGTGAAAAATTTGTCTCATCTGAATCAGGAGAGAAATGTGCACATATCAAATCTAAACTAGATCTAAACGAAATTCTAAACAAATATGTTGATGGACAAATGGGGACAGACTTGGGGCAGAAGTGATGGTTTTAAGTTAAAATGGCTTAATGATGGATTTGTTTCTCACAAACATGCAGCTTTTCACTTCACTCAAGACGTTAATTGACTCTGATTCTGATGGCAACAGGATCCAGTGATGAGCAAGTGATGCTTGGATGATGCTAAATTTCTTCAAATCTGTTACGATGAAGAAACAAACTACATTTTGGATAGCGAGGGTAAGTAAATTTTCAACCCATTTTTGGGTGACCTATTTCTTTAATCGTCCCAATAGTAGCCTACTACACTTTATAGTGAGTGACACCTCTGTGGATGCAAGTAGTTTGTTTATACTTACTGCTGCTTCTTCAAACTGTTTATCTTTTCATCCTTTTCAATGCTTGTTTGCTGGACAGAGAAATTGAAGGGTGCACTCTGACATTTAAAGTCCCCCTGTAGTCAAATATTTTATCCCTTAAAACTTATCTTTGATCATCAAAATGACATATTTAAATGTTTTTTCTTGTGAAAATAATTTTCTCATGCCTTAAAATAGCTTGAATGTAACTCTACACCCTTGCCTCATTTACTATATGTGGATCTATGAATATGCAAATTAGTCCCGCCTCCACTCACTCGCACCAGCCAGCGCCTCCTGATCCACTGAACTGTAGTAACCGCAAAACAATGGCATACACGGATAATGACTGATAAAACTATGTTTTTACTAGGGGACAACTACAGTGAATACTGTAACACTCGTTAAAGTTACTTGACGATGTTGTGTCCTAAAATGCCTTGAAGACTCGAATGCAGCCATTTGTGATTGTTAATTCGCACCCGCGAGCATACAGGTGCATCTCAATAAATTAGAATGTCGTTGAAAAGTTCTCAACTCAAATTGTGAAACTCGTGTGTTAAATAAATTCAGTGCACACAGACTGAAGTAGTTTAAATCTCAATATTTGAATTTCTAACTTCGATATGATAATTTGAAAAGTATAGATACTCGGTACAACAGGGAAGAACTGTAGAATATAATATCATACAGATATTTTTAATATTATTAAGAAAATTTGTCCATCAACGGTGATAATCAGTAGGCTAATTTCTGTTTTTTGCTCTGATTTATTTTTGGTTTTGTGCTGGTATTGGTATATTTTGCATGCTAGTGATAGGAATCGATCCCTTGACGTGATTGGTTATTGGTTTGTGATGTAGCAAACCAAGGGCTGTTTCAAACGATATTTCTGGGTCAGCCTTTGGGAAACTACAGTTTTAAGGAGAAAATACACAGCAATGGTGTTGATTAATAGATTGGCACATGGTTTGTCTAAAAGCATATTAAAAACACCACGTAGACAAATAAACAACATAAAAAAACTGATTTTCACTACAGGGGGACTTTAATTTCTCAACTGGTATGCTGCAGTTTGGATTGTTGGCTCACATGCTGATCCACCATATCACTCTTGACTGTTGACTTGGGCTCATATGTTCATAGAGTTAACATATGCATTTACATTATGTATATTGTTAACAATTATTCATTGTACAGTAACTCGGCTTTTTTTTAGATGAAGCATACAATATCGTTTTAGATTAAGCATACAATATCGCTCTGATTCACTGCTTGACATTTCCTGTCATGTAGCCATCAACTGTGCAGTATTATCATTTGTTTGTGCGAGTCCTCACATTATATCCAGTCGGCTGGCTCGGGTCACGTGACGTCACACGGTCGGTCTATTCTTCTCCGCGCGCTAGCAGGAAGTACAGGCGAGAGGCTCATACAGGGATCAGCCATCGTTTAGCCACGTATTAAGCCTTTATTTCCACATTCGTGTGGTTTAACGATATCTGCAACGTATTTATTTGACACCGGTGATTTAAAGCTTGTATTGCTCGTCTTCAACAGATTGTAAATCTTTCTCGTCGACGGGCAGACAGTTATTGACGTCAGTGCACGTTTATACTATTATTATTATTATTATTATTTGTGAATCATGTTTTGACGATCGTCATTTTCGCGCGAGCAAAATATATGAGTAGACAACGTAGAAAGCGTGAATGGTTTCGTATCCTTTGCTCGCTTTAACAGCCGGTTGCTATGCATTGCATGCATCTGTGTGTACAGCCATGCAGCAAAGCATGCAACTGTGCTGAGATGTCACACCGCCTTTTCTAACAGATCTCTGTAGTGCATACAGTTGGTACGTTGCAGTCCATGCGCCTTTCTCGCAAGATGTTTGCTTCTTGAAGTCTTACTTTTGGAGTGTTAGTTTGCTATTTTAACCTTCCACCTGCTTTCTTTGTTCTGCAACACAGTGGTGGGTCAGAATGAACAGAAACCACATGAAAGATGGTGCTTTCTGAGCCTTACTGGGATCATCACATCCCCCTGCCAAAACTGGGACCCTTGTACTCCCGGCTGGTCACTGCCTTTGTTGCCCTGATCTGTTTCATAAACAGCTATGATGGGGACTTTGTCTTTGATGATTCAGAAGCCATCATTCATAACAAGGTATCACCCTCAATATTGGTTATTTATTTATTTGTTTAGATGTTTATTATGAAAGAAATAGTTTACCTAAAAATCTAAATTCTGACATTCATTTCAAAGACATGATTCATACATACAGTACATGTAGTTTTTCATACAGTGACAATGGATGGGGACCAAGGAGTGGCCATGGTCACCATTCAGTTTCATCATATGAAAAAAGCAGCTTTGACATTCTGTTTGAGTAAATAATGATTGGATTTCCTTTTCGGGTAAACTGTCCATTTAAACATGCATATTGTTGTAATGATCAGTTGTGATTTCAACATACAAATCATGTCACTACTTTAATAGTACATGATATTTGCAGCTTTTTTTGTGGCATTTATACATTGTCTTAACTGATTTACTCTCTCTCTCTCTCTCTCTCATTTCGTAGGATTTGAATCCTGACACTCCATTGAGTAACATCTGGAAAAATGACTTTTGGGGAAGTAACTTAAGTAGCAACTCCAGTCACAAATCCTACCGGCCCCTGACCGTCCTGACCTTCAGGTATGTTCACCACAAAGACAAAAGAGTCTTTCAATTACTGCTGTGTGATTGATGATTAACACAAGGTAATAGTCCAACGTGCTTATAGTGAATATTGTCAAACCTCTTTGCATGTATTAGATATGTGGACTTGTAATTTTATTCTCAGTGGGAAATCAAAAGAGGTCCCCCGAGTGCTTCCTCAGCGACTGCCACAATAATTGACATTAAAATTGGATGCATATATTGCCTTTTTTCAAACTCGTTTTAGAATTGTCTTTGGCATTTGACTGCAACTGTGAGGAATCTATACAGGGGGCATAATTCATGTCCTGCATGCTGCTAATGAGAATGACATTGTTTTGCATCAGTAATGGCCCGTTATACCACCTCAACCATAAATTTGCTCTATGCCACGATGTCTGTATGCCATCGTATCTCTGCTGTTTTATGTTTCAGAAATATACAAAACATTTGTGATCATTGCACAAGTCAAAAGTTAGTTTTAATCATTGCGATTTATGGCTGTTACTTATTTTCGCAGGATCAACTACCTCTTGGCTGGTGGACTGCATCCGATTGGCTTCCACGTGCTCAACGTTGCCCTCCACTGTGTTATTTCTGTGTTAATGATCGATGTGTTTGCAATATTAATTGGCGGCCTGGTTCACAACGGAAGAGAGGCGAAACTCAGTCTTTCTCCAAAAGCTTCCTTCCTGGCTGCGCTCTTCTTTGCTGCACATCCAGTTCACACGGAAAGTGTAAGTAGAGTGGGAAGACGTGATTCAGTAGGCCGTCTCTGCCCGGTAAACAATCTCCGACTACAATGCTCCATATCACAATGTTCATTGATGTTGCATGAAATATACATTACAAGGCCCGTGAAGAAGAAAGCTTCACGCAGCTGGTGTGCACCGCATAGGTGGGCTCTACAGTCAGCCGTGGCTATTAACAGCTACCGAACGCTCGCTCACTCTGCCCTGCCACGGATGCGTCCGAGCATGGTAGAGTCTGCCAATCTGCTCTTTAATCAGGTTCAGAAAGACCGGCCCTGGACCTGGAGGGGGTGAGGTTCAGAGAGACCACTGACTTGGGCCTACGGGATGAATCAAAGAAGGTGGCCCCAGGACTCCAGCCAAGGCCGACTGGAGTTCTGTAATGAGTGCTGCCTGCTGCCTCCTACCTTCACCGTTAATTTGGCACTGCCAGAAATACAGGCAATTTCACAGTCGAAAGGGCGGCGAAGGATGTTTTTATGCTGCCCGTTTTTTTGCCTTTAATGTCCAAGCAGGATTTAATTTGTTTAGGTGTAAAATGTGTAGCTGCTGTTAAAAACGATTGCCCTTGAGGTGGATTTCACGGACGTGACCTGCTTGAAGATAGATGCTGCTTGATGAGACAGTGCCCTTTAGCTCTCTAAAAGTATTTAGTTGGAGTTGATCTTGTGAATAATCTCCTCTGTTGGCTCTCTGTTTTGTAGGTGGCTGGCATTGTTGGCAGAGCAGATTTGTTGTGTGCCCTCTTTTTTCAGCTCTCTTTTCTGGTTTACTGCAAAGCGTTTCAAGGTCAGTTGGTAAACTAATGCACTAGACTCTGATACAGTTATTATTGGCACTGTGTGAAATTTAGTTGCATAAAATTTCAAACAAATTTTTCAAAACTTTACATTTGCAATCATTTACAGCTTTAATAAATCCGCAATCATTTGATTTTAAAAAGAAGAAATGTTGAAAATTGCGCTGGTTGCTCTTTTGGTCTCTGCTTGGGAACTGAGGTTTTCAAGATTCCAAAAAGTAAACATAAGCAGCAAAAAAAGCATCATATAAGTGGTCCATCAAACTTTGCCTCTGTATTGCAAGTCTTCTGAAGTCTTACAAAAGCTTTGTGTGTGAAACAGACCGGAATTTAAGTTTGTTTGGTAATTGAAGCTTAAAATCTTCTTATCTTGCTTGAGGACTCATTACAAGTTTGTAATGAATTAATCCTTTACAGACACTGTATGTTAGGATTTCACTGAATATCTTACTTTGCATCAAGCATACAGTTTAATGTAGAGACTCTTGAATTTTTCTCTGTAGGTGGTGATAAAACGTTCTCAGTATTGTGGATATTTGGCAGCATTCTTCTTTGTGCTGTAGCAATGCTGTGCAAGGAGCAAGGCATTACGGTTTTGGTGAGTAAAAATATGCATACATTTAAGAGAGTTGCAGGTCAAATAAGGTAATATGCAATAAGCATATATATGTTAGATTATCTCTCAACTATTTTTACAATACAGAGCTTTGGTCATCCATAAAATATCTTGATCTTTTCTTCCGTGTGTTAAGGGAGTGAATGCTGCTTATGATATTCTCATGGTCTGTAATCTGAATATCTATGAGCTCGCTCACCAGCTGCTGTCCAGGAGAAAATCAGATGATGTAAGTGACTTATTCACAGGGTGTCACTCTTTGGACCCAAACAATCTTTGGATTGATTTATACTTTCTCTTTTCCACCCAGATTGGAGGGTTGGTGAGGAGCGGTTTGCTTATGAGGTTAGCTCTTCTCTTTCTTGGTGGTTCCTTTCTTTTGTACGCAAGGTGGAGAATCATGGGAACTGGGCCTCCATCTTTCACTGAGGTGGATAACCCAGCATCCTTTGCTGAAAATGTCATCTTGAGGGTAAGCAGTCCTTTCAGTTTGGGTTTTTCAATGGCCCCTTCGAAGCTGAAATTTCACTGGTACTGATAAATAAAATTATGGCATTCTGACGACCCTAGTCAAAACTGAAATAAATTATATTTAAAGTATAGTTTTTAGCCATATTTTTCACATACTCCTTAAAGAATCACGTGTTTCTCTGCTCTCTCTTTTCTCAGATTGTGAACTATAATTACTATTACTCATTGAATGCCTGGTTGCTGCTGTGTCCCTGGTGGCTGTGTTTTGATTGGTCAATGGGCTGTGTGCCTTTGATTAAATCAGCTGCTGATTGGAGGATTTTCTGGCCTCTTTTGCTGTGGTGCTGTCTGATGGGCTTGGTATACCAAGCTCTGTGCTCACAGGACAGCAATAAAAGAAGGTAAGCAAAACAAAACATGGTTTGTCTAGACATATGAAAAAATGTCATAATGTAATTCTACCGTAAGATTTATTTTAATGGATTAATCATCATTAAATCATCTAGTCATATTTACTTACCCTTATATTATTCCATCCTGTAAGCTGTTTTTTTCCCCTGAAACACAAAATACAAAAAGACTCTTCAGATTCAGCTTTTGTGGAACAGTAATGACAACTAGTTTATTACACTAGTTTTGGGCTGTGGTGATACAACCATATATTGATATCACTTGTTTCTTACAGTATTGCATCAGTATTTATTTTATATCAATATACACACTGAATTTATATGCAGCAATTACTACACTACTAATATCTTCAGTGTCACATGATCCTTCAGAAATCACTCTTAATATGCTGTTTTGGTGCTCAAGAAACTTTTTATTATTATTATTATTATGCCTGTTGAAAACAGTTGTGCTGCTTAAAATTTTTGTGAATTTTATTCATTCATGAATAGAAACTTCAAAAAGAACAGCAGTTATTTGAAAAACTTTAACAATGTTGAAGGCTTTACTGTCACTTTTGAACAATTTAATAGAGCCCGGCCGATATGGGTTTTTTGGGGCCGATAAAAGGCCGATATTCTTTGTGTATATTATAGTACAATACCAGTCAAAAGTTTGGACACTTTCCCATTCGTGTGTCCAAACATTTGACTGGTACTATATATAGAATACAGTATATACATAAACAGAATATATATACATAAACACATTTTTTGCAATGATCACTCAAATGTGGTGATCAAACACTTATAATGGTGACAGAGATATGTAAGGGCATTTAACAATTTAACAATAAACTTGCGATGAGTGCGATGCACAAAGTAACGGGGTGTTAATTGTAACACACGTGGTTTGAATATTTATTTTACCATAGTAACATTTAAATTCTGGCTTAAGTAAATTTTTTTATCTCAGTTTTTATTATTCATTTAAAATGAGACAAATCTGCTATTATTTTAATCTCCAATCTGTTATTTATCAGTTCAGATAGTTTTTT